TATATATATGAACTGGCCAACATTACTCTCAACAGAGAGAAGCTGAAAACATAGCCCTTGCAAATGGAACAAGACAAGATTATCTGTATTCAATATTATTCTAGTAGTCTTAGCCAGAGCAATATGTCAATAAAGGAAAATTAAAGACATCCAAATTGACCAAAAAGAAAGCTCTATTTGTCAATGACATGATCCTGTACATAGAAAAGCCCATACACTTGGCAAGAATATTTCTGGCACTAATTAAAATATTCAGAAAAGTTTCAGGGTAAAAGATAAACGTGCAAAAATCAGTTGGAAACATGGGTGGAACCACAGAGACAATTGTGAGGATGACACAAGACGGGCGGAGTTTCATCTTCTTGTGCATAAGGTCACTCTGGGTCAGAAACCACTTGATGCCATCCAGTAGCAACGACAGAAAGGGCTCAGTGCCATCTGACAATAACGACACAATAAAATGAAGTCAGAAAACAATACCTATGAATAAGTATAATAAAAGAAACAAAGGCCCACACAAAGAAAAATATGATACACTACTAAACAAAAACTGCATAAATGGAAGACTATACCGTGATCACAGATAAGAAGACACAGCATTGTGAAAATGTCAACACTACCCTAAGCAATTTACTGATTTAATGCAAATTCAATCCAGATTCCAACATAATTTTAAAGAGACAGAAAAGTAAGTCACTAACTTTGTATGGAAACGAAAGACGCTCCAGATAAACAGAGCACGAGTTAAGAAATAAAACAAAGTAGAGGTCTCTTACTTCCCGATTCCAAAACCTACTACACAGCCATAGTAGTCAAAAGAGCCTGTTATTGGTCCGAAGAAAGAGGCATAAAGCGATGGAACAAAATTGAGAATCCAGACATCAATCTGTCCACCTACAGAGAGCTGATGTCTGAAAAAGGCCAAAACACATTAAATGATAGAAGATACAGTCTCTTTAACAAATGGTACTGGCAAAATTGGATACACATCTGCAGAAGAATGAAACAGGACCCACATGTAACACCATATAAAACCAAGTCTCATAATAGATCAAAGGTCTAAATGTGAAACCTTGAACTTTAAAGATCACCAATAGAAAAGTAGGCACGAGCTGATGTTCCTAATAAATGGCATAAGTATGCTATCAAATATAATGAAAAATATACAAATAGCAGAAGACAAATTGAGACACTCTAAAAAATCAGACATTCGTGTGCATTAAAAGATTTCACCAAAAATTCAAATGACAATCCATTCTGGAGGGATGCTATTGGTAAGAGACTAAGATTAGACAAAGGACTAACCTCTAAAATGCACAGAAACCTTCAAAACCTCAACAAAAACGAAAAGACAACTAATCCCATATAAAAATGGGCAGATAACGTGAATAAATATTTCATCAAAGAAGGCATTTCAGGTGCTGGAAAATATGAAGCAGTGCTCTCCATTGTTAGGCACGGGAGAGATGTAATTCGAAACAATGTTCTATCACCTCACCGCAGTATTAACAGCAGTTAGAAATGAACTGCTGAGACACAGAAAGACCGAAGCCCCATACTCCAGGGAAGAACTGTGAACTGGGACAACAACGTGGAAGTGATAGAACACTGCCTCAAAAAATGAGACTAGAAAGAGCTTATTGTTGTGGGGTGCCATCAAGTAGATTCTACCGCCTAAGGACACTGCAAAACAAAGGAAACGCTGCCCTGTCCTGTACCCCCTCACAATGATTTCTATGAACCTGTGCCCATTGTGGCAGCCACTGTGTCCATCCACCACCTGGAGGGACTTCCTTTTTTTCACTGAGCCTCGACTTTACTGAACATGAGGTCCTTCTCCAGGCACTGGTGTCTCCTGATAATATGTCCAAACTACATAAGACTAAGTCTTGCCATCCTTAGTTCTCAGGAGCACTCTTGGCCACACTTCTTCCCAGGTAGATAGATTGCTTTTTCATTTTAGCAGTTCATTGTACTTCCAATATTCTTCCCCAGCACCACAGTTCAAACGCATCACTCCTTCGCCAGTCCTCCTTATTCAGTGACTTCGCTTCACATGCACAGGAGGCGAGTGAAAACATCATGGCTTGGATCAGGCACACCTTAGTCCAAAAACTAACATCCTTGCTTTTCAATATTCCAAAGAGGTCTTATGCAGCAGACTTACCCGATGCAATGTGTTGTTGGATTGCTTGACTGCTGCTCCCATGGGCGTTGATTGTGGGTCCAAGCAAGACAAAATCCTTGACATCTTCACCCTTCGCTCCATGTATCACGATGTTACCTATTGGTTCAGTTGTGAGGATTGTGATCTTCTTGACAGTGAGTCATAATCCACACACAAGTGCTTTAAGGCCTCCTCACTTTCAGCAAGCAGAGTTGTGTCATCTGCATATGTACAGTTGTTTATAAGACTTCCTCCAATCCTGATGCCATATTCTTTTTCATATAATCCAACTTCTCTGATTATTTACTTTTTCAGCATACATATTGAATAATTATGGCGAGAGGACACAACCCTGTCACACAACTTTTCTGATATTAAACCATGCAGTATTCCCTTGTTCTATATGCACAACTGCCTCTTGATCCATGGACAAGTTCTGTATAAGCACAATGAAATGTTATGGAATTCTCATCAGGTCTTCTGTCATGAGTGTTACATGCATCAAATTTGTTCTCGAAATGTTCTCAAAATTCGGCTGGGTTAGATTTAACATGCTATCTCAGCGCTGGTGGACTCGTTTTAATTTACTTTAGCTTTATCCTGAATTTACCTATGAGCAATTGACGGTCTACTTCGTAGTCATTCCCGGCCTGGTTTTAGCTGCTACTATTGAACTTCTACTATTCTCTTCCCCCAAATGTAGTCAGCTTGATCTCTGTGGATTCCATCTGGAGTTCATGTGCATAGGTCCCTTTTCTGTTGTTGGAAAAAGGTATTTTCTATGAACATGTCATTGGTTGTGAAAAATTATATCATAGAATAGCCATCTTCATTTCTGTCATTAAGTGAATATTTTCTAACTACTGTTCATTTCTCTGTTTCCAACTTTTGCATTTCAATCACCAATAATTTTCAATACATCTTGAATGCATGTTTGATCAATTTCTGATTGTAGACATTGGTAGAATTCTTCAATTTCTTTATCACTAGCTTTTTG